GAACCACAGCGTCCGACCGCACCCTGACTTGTTCTACTGAAAATCAAAAAATGCCCACACCCCTACGATTCTCTCCGCTTTTGAGCAGAGCTCCCGATATACCCATGGCACTACCCTCGGTTGACAGACTTCCGGGGGTTGGTTGGTGGCACCCAAGCAGAAATCCTATAGAATGTCGATAAATATGTTTTCCCGAGGTATACTATATATATATATATATATATATATATATAGTTATAGGTGGGTGCACGGCATAGGTTGATTAGACCGATCAAATTAACCTGAGACATGATCATCGCGCCCGCAGCTCATCCATCTCCTCACGCCTCCCCCCGCCTTTGGAACTTGGCGTCTTGGGCCCGTTATATACGCGCTCGAGTTGATGTAGGTACCCACCTACCTAACGTATACCATGCGAGAGGAGAGCTGTAGAGGTAGTTAGCTTCGGGTTGCTGCCAATTAGCTGGATCGTCTCCTCTCATCGGTGGCGTTTTCCGCGGCCTGCACGTGCACGCACGTGAGAGGGAGTAGGTATGCCGATACCGGGGCGCCGGAGATGAGCGAGGAGGAGGAGGTTTGCACCGCGCCGCGTACTCGACAGGCATTATACTACTTGGTAAACTCGAGGAGAATTTCTCGCTGTGCACGGGGGGCCGTCGGAATGCCGGATTGCTTAATTACTGTGTATTGCACGTGCACGCCGATACACACACACGCACACTCGTGCGTACACAAAGTGTTTGTTTGCTCGGGTGGCAGCGTGATATTTGCTTCTCTTCCCTCCTATATACCGACGTGGACTCGAAATTTGTCAAGCGAAAGAGACATATCCAATTGTCGTTCACCGATCTTTCGGAAGTGAGTGTAGCAGAGCCCGGATTACACGGAGGAGAGAGAGAGCGCAGGCCTGCTTACGCCTACTGCGATTACGTTTCACGCCCACCGCGCGTTTCTCTCCCCAAAGAGAGCTCGTACAAATTAATCGTCGGCATCGGATTAATACCGAGCACTGTTACAGTTTCGTTTGCAAACGGTTAAAATACAACTTGGTGGCTGTCGTATGCGTGAAAAAAAAAAAAAAAAAAAAAAAAACATTCATAGCAAGGAACTAGGTGTTTGTGGGAAGATTCGTTGGTCGTATATGGCGAGATAATTGGAGCTTTGCCTAACGGGCCTCCGTCCAACGGATCAGTGACCCCTTCGCAAGCGAGTCACACGAAGTTTCGAGACTCCCTGGGAATCCTTTTTCAATGTAATAATGGTACCATTATTGCGTAAGATAAAAATGTTTCCTTTTCGGGGGGGAAAAAAAAAGAAATCCAATATTCGGAGGCACAGATTCTCAACCCTTGACTTATAAGTGCACCAGAGCTAAGTGTTCGGACTGTAGGAGCGAAAATAAAAAGTCAAGAAAGGTCGTACTTGAATAATGAAAACGAGACTCGAAGAAGAAGAAGAAAGCGTCGAATGATCACTGGTGTATTTTTATTAAAATTATGGACCTACCAGCTATTGTTATCATCAAAATTTAATCTACGTGTATAATATACCCTGTACGCGAGTGTCAGGCAGTGTCGTCCCCTTTGCGCACGCACTCGCGCGTTCGCATCGCATTTAATTAAAAGCTCGTATATCAGGGCGCGTAAACGGCACATATTTAATTAAAATCAGTGGTATTCTATACGCAACGGCGAGGGAACCTTTAATATACATAACGTTTGGTGTGTGCACATATAGACGCAGAGGCTCGACTTTTCGCAAAATAACTCCAGCTCCGAAATACCTCTGCAATGCATCTTGTCACCGGGGCTAGTTTGCACCGCGGGGATAACAAATGGTATGCACAACACCTGCGGGGCAAAGTTTAAACCGGAAAGCCAGGGACGCCTCCTGTCACATCTTATGTACTTTTAGCCGAGAGCCGGAGTGGTGGCTGCGGTGTACACGTATAGAACGAGTACCGGAGACTAAGGAAGGAAAGGCGTGAATTCGGAGGGCCACCGCTGCAAGAGGAGATAATTGAATTATTTTCCAGCGTCCCGATTAAAACGAGGCGGGGGAAAAATTCAACTGGGTCAGCCGGGTTGGACCGAAAAGTCAAGCGAGGTAGTCTTACGTGGCCGGAGTAACAGGATTACAGGGAGCAGTGGAAAAACAAAAACAGACCAAAAAAAAACACGGCAGGAGAGCCGAGGGTGGAAAACTAAACCAGCCAGTGTGATTGTATGTGTATGTACATGCATATACAACTTTGGGGGAGAAGAAGTGGTGCTCCGCTGGGAAAGCTCTTTGGGAAGTTCGTAAATATTTATGTATACCTAATGCAAGGGAGCAGTCGTACATACAGTTGATCGCGCGTGTACTTGAACAACCAAACCGTGGGGCTTTGGTTTTGAAAAAAAAAAAAAAAAAAAAAAAAAAAAAAAAAAAAAAAAAAAAAAAAAAAAAATTTGATGATTGCGATCGGGCGCGCGTGTAGTTTTCAATGTACGCAGAGATTGACATATGTCCATAATTTTCTTTCGATCGGTGTATACCTGCACGGATCCAAACGAATGCAATATCTGTGACGCGCCATCCGATGGCGCATAAATTAGAGCCACCAAGGTTTGCTCCCATTATTATTGTACGCCTGTATAGCACACCACAGTCACTCACGGCGCAGTGCGCATTTCACGGGCTGCCAGTCGCGGCTCGTTCGATTTCTCACGCCGAGTATGTATACAACGACGTTCATAAAAGTACATTCATCATGGGCCCCGCGGCAGCAGCGCTATCGTAAATGAAAAATCACGAGCTACGCATGGTCTCGTACGGCAGCTATACGCGTGAGGCAGAGAGAGAGAGAGCACCGACTGCCCACATCCTTGTACGCGCGGGCGTAAAAACTGGGAAAGAAGAAGAAAAAAAGGCATCCGGTTCCCAGCCCAAAAGAAACTGAGTGGGTATATCTCTACGAGTCCACATATATATGTATAACTACACATAAAGGAGCGAGGTAGATTTTTCTTTCCTTTCTTTTTCCGTAACGAAAATGTTTATTTTCCCTCCCGATCGATGCGAGACAAAATTAACCCGTTATATTATACGTATACGGGCGCTATCGAGATTTCGCGCGTGTGCACCTTGCACGCGTAATGATACGATGGGCTAACGAAGCTGTAAGTATATAACACAAGGGGCCAGTGTATAGATAGCACTCGTAACAGAACTAACAGGTGCAAAGGAGAAGAATAAAGGGGAAGGGGGAGCAGAGTGTGTAACTATATAATAGAGGCAAAGGTGGCGAGCGGGCGCGCGTCCCAACCGACTTTCAAGGCCGAGCGAGCATTGCACACACGAGCGAGAGTTGGCTTTACTCTGTACGATGATGATGATGGGCGCCTGTAAGCAGTATACCGTGAACGTATATATGTATATACATATATACACGTGTTTCCGGTGGACGCTTCCTCCTTAGCCTCCTCCTTCAAGATTTTTAAGGGGTGAAAGGACAGAGGCAAGTTATACAGTGTGTGTATACGGGAGCGGTGAAGCCCCCGCTGTTCCGGTGCGCTGCCCCGTGTGGGATTCTCCCACGAGCTCCGCCGCGTCTTCCCTATTATCAAGCACGCCCATCTATACACACGTTGTTGCTGAACCCACACGCACACATACAACACTAACCAGGTATACATACACATAATCAACGATGTTATATATACTCACAACCGTCCCCCGAGTATGTATACTTACACGCTTATTCATACATATTTTATACGAGTTGCTTTACTTATTAAATTCTAGTTTAACCATATGAATGAGTGCTTGGATATATAAGTACCTATTCATTCTCATTGGGTGCAACGTTCAAGCGCAAACGACAGGTTGTTTCTTTTATGCATTACTTGGCAAATCCCAAGTACATATCCGGGGATTGTAGTGATTTTTTAACAAAAAATAAAAATAGATATGAGAGAAACGAGTGAATGACCGAATCAATATTGTTAAAACTCTTTGGGATTTTTCGGGATTTGGCAGTAACGCGGCTCGACAGAGCACGTAAATTCATTTACCCGGGGGGTTTTCACCTGCGTAACGCGGAAGCACAGCAGCTAATCAATGATAATGTGTATCATGTATAAAACCCGTGAGGTATATTAAAAGAGCCAATAATAACGTTCATAAATAGCTTTGATAGGTGACGTTGTACTGATGTGTATGAATATAATATGTTGTAGAACCGAATAGAGTTTAGTTTATAAACCTCTGTGTCTGAGGAAGGTACAGTGTACCGAAACAATTGTAACACTAATATATGACAATAAACTGTGAAGATTTATTTTTAAACTCGTTTTTCATTTGATTTTAATATAAAAAAGAGCCTTCGTTGGCTCATCGAACGTGCACGTGTTGTTTTGCTCCGGTTTTCCCGTAAACATCCGGCTCATCCGTTCGCCCCGTTAAATCCCAAAAAGTACACCAGAACGGGATCAACCTATACTCGTTCGGGGGGTCCCCTCTAATTGACCAAAGTATATGTATGCGACGCGATGAGATTCGACGTCGAGTGGCGACGACGAGATTAACGAGGTTCCCCGGGAATGGGATATGTCATTTGCCGGAGGGGCGCGTCGGGTCAAGAGGAGATTGAACGACCGACTGGTTATTCGGATGGATTTTTTTTTTTTTTTTTTTTTTTTTTTTTTAACGAATCGTTGAATCGCACGAGCACCCCCTCGTCGTCGCCGGGCTAAGGGTCCGCCGGCGGGGAGGGGCAGAGCTTTTAATTTAGTCATCACCCCCAAAATCACTATGCGAATTTTCCAAAGCTATACAAACTCGACGGAAATGATATAGATACGTTTGCTACGAGTACATGATTAAGTAATACTTAGGTAGCCAACAAAAAATGTCAACAAAATGAGTACATCTGATAAAAAAAAAAAAAAAAAAAAAACTTCGACTTATTCTCCTGCAAGGGTGGAATTGCCAACTCGTAGTGTCGCGTGATTACTTACACAAAACAATGACGCCGCGGATGATCCTGTGAGCCGAAATATCGATCCTTGCAGGTGACATTTTTTTATCCGAACGCACTTCATCACTTGCAACAGAACATGTGGATAATGATACTCTTATCCCTATCACCACACGCGCGATTGCTCCCGAGTTGTAGTACTTGTCGCTCGACCGGCTCTTACAATTTTTCAGATGCCACGTTATAAATGGGCACGAGTACAAAACATTGGGACACACGAACAACAACAGCAACAATTGGCTTCGCGAGCTAGTTGCTCGGGCTTGGGATGCATTTCTGTCGTCAGTTTCCTACACTTCTATAATATGCTATATGTAATGTAACAACACAATTCACAAGCCCCTCGTTGCTCGACTTTTTCACTCGATCGAGTACTCAGTTTTCACCCCCGTGCCACCACCACACGCGCACTCCAACTTTCGGCAGTTTCACTGATTCGAATCATCCAAGTACTTACCAGAGGACACACAAGTCACTATATATATACTTCATTACGTCACAACAATAAACAAACAAACAAACAAACGTGATGGGTGTGTATGTATGTACAGCACAAGGCTCGCGCACCCCTCGAAACTTGCGTAATTCACTCGGAGCTGTCAGTGACGCGGGAGGAGGGTGCGATGATATATAGATATATACGCGCACGGAGTCTCGGAGGACCCACCTGCATCGGCACACCGAACACAAAATCAGTGCATCAACACTCGTTACTACCGTCCATCGCGCGATCGGCCCTCAGGAGAATGAACGAGAGGGAGAGGTAATATAGCGCGTAGCGTCAGGCATACGTTACATACGCGGGCGAGCGATGCATGAACGGGGGCGGTATCGACGGCGCGACGGCGCGTGCGGGACTGGATACGGGAGAGGAGGGCTAGGCCAGCCAGCGGAGAGTGCCATATACGTGCCGCCGCTACCGCAGCTGCCGCTCTCTCTCTCTCTCCTCCTCTCGGGCGGGTGTGGAGTGGCCCCGCGACGTGCCCTATCTACGTTCGCGGCCGCCGGTTGGCGCTGCCTGTCCCCGGGAGCCGCTCCGGCCGCAGTCCACGTCCAGCCTCCAGCGCGAAACCATCATCCCTCCCGTACCATTTATCCCCATACATAACATAAATCGCTGCAGTGGCTGCTCCTACACGAGGTATTTTTAGAAACGAGGACTATACCTTAATGGTACTACGGGGAGGTTGGTGCACGGACAGAGGCCCAACTGGCTCAGCGGGGGAGGAGCAGAGGCATGTGTATAAGCTCCTCCGGTGTTAAACATCGCGGGATATATTTTAGCAGTATACGTATGGGTCCACCCACGTGACGCTGATGCTCCCGAATCGATCACTGTCCTCTACTCCCACCCCCTCTTTCACACCAGGGGCTTCTATTTTTATGACAACTATTACTCGCTTCACCAGCGTTCCCTTTGATACTTGGAGCTCAAAGATCCGTAGGAGTAAATTTCATGAGCGCCTTTTTTCCAACATTTGACACGAATGGGGATTAAAAACGTGGTGTCATATGTTTTAGTAGGTATAATGCTTACCTCAATCTGTTACAATGATTGATTGAAAAAAAAAAAATGTGTCTCTTCCTTTTACAACGATTTCAATCGTTTCATCGCTAAAAGTCACGTGCGATCTACATTGAAAAGGACATCAAATGAATCTTTTTGTTATGGAAAAAAAAAAAAAAAAAATTCAATGCGCATTTGCACGGATGCTCGGATGGAAAGTTAAACCTTTCAATGGCAATATCATATGCATCAATAAACGCGAGATCGATAATGAATGGGCAATCGACACCAAAATTGTTGGAATAAACATTTTATTACTACCTCCGCGTGTACAGATATATATATATATATATATATATATATATATATATATATATATA